TTTATCTTATCGCATATTTCCAATAGCGATGGCTTAGCCGTTATAGTTTTATCAAAATAGAAAATATACATGCTAAGTTTTAAATGTGATCGCGGGCCGCGGGTTGAAGACCTTGGGTCTAGTGCTTGACCAAAGAAACCCCTGGGGCCTGCCTACACCTTAAAAATACAACCAAGCAATTGAAATCAAAAATGAATACCTCTAATTTTCTATTATAGAAAAGCTAACTTAAATATATGGTCCTTAAGAATTATCCTCTAGGGTTCAATGAAACCAGCTAGCACCTGAACCATCCAAGCTTTCCAAGGAATTTCCCTACAAATGTCTGTCAACGCCCCTTGGTAGGTTACCAATGTCAGTCTTCATAATGAGTTAAAAATTGCTTCTATCAAACAAACAACTACCACATACTACACTTGCCTCCAGTCAAAAAGGCCAACCGCCCCAATAGCCTTATCGCTCAACTTCACTTCAACCATTTTCCAGAAAACCTAATGAGACGCCTCAAATGTAAATGGCCTAAAGACCTACTGAATATTTGATGCATACCTTTTAAGTGAATAACTCAAGTTCAGGTGTTTCTAATGTGAAGAGCATTCAAATTTCACAATTCATTCTCTTTGTATAGCTAAATTTTTTACTTATTATACACCCTAGTATAGATTGTAAATAACTTATGAAAATAACCAATTTTTAAAATTCCTATGACTTAATTAAAAATATCAATACCAAAAAAGGTTTTTTTAGATATTTTTATTTTTAAGTTTTAATAATAGGTTAGTTTACTCCAATATTAAATCTAACCTAACTCCGGGTTTGAAAACCTCTTTATGGTTGAACATAAGAAACATAAGAAAAAGTCTCTTAATAAAAGATTCTATATTAGTACAAATACTTACATCATCGTCATATGTTTCATCATTTATACTGCCAAAAGTATTAATTTTTTGTGTCACTCTTTCAACAAGATCTAAAAATAAACGACGATACCTAGAATATATACAATTATTAATTATTATCAAATTACTTGCTAAAAATATAGTTGAATAGCTATTGTTTAGCATCTAATATATCCAGTAAAATTATAAAAGTTTTAATTTCTTAGCAAATCGTTAATTTTCCTTTAATATTTAATATAAATGTATCAAGTTGTATGAAATCATTAATACATATAATACATTGTATAATTACTTTTCAATACATCCAGGACGATCAGATAATGCTTCGAAAATGCTACACCAAATATCTAAGCATTGATAATAACAATCTAAAACATCTTGCCGGAATGTAAATTGTAACAGTAGTTCTAAAAATTCACCATTATTAAAATGATTATCAAGATAGTTCCAATATTTTCTAATGACTACAGATAGAATTTCAATGACTATAACCATATAACTGAAAAAATTTAAAGTTTATTAGATAAATGTTAAATAGAAGTTGCACAATATATTATATTGAATACTTACGCTTCACTCACAAAACCAATTTCAGGAACAGCAATAATATTTTCAACTAAACGGAATGTATAAAGACATAACTCAGACAAAATGAAAAATCTATCTTCTGTTTGAGTATAAGATTTACTAAGAACTTCATTAAATATAGTCAAAGTGTTAATGGATGTTGCATTCTAAACAATAGTATTAATGGTTATATATTATTCATTTTTTAAATTTCCTAATTATATAAATTATACCTCTTTTTTTCCTAATGGCATCAAGACATGTAATAAATCAGGAGTCAGGTGCTTTTCAAATGGAAGCCAAGTAAACATATCAGAAAATACTTTTGTTACTGCTTCGTATATTTCATCTGAATTTGAAGTTTTATGGGCATTTTTCAAAATATCTATAAACAAAGTATTATTAATATGAATTATTTATAATAAGTACTAACTGTTATAATAATTATTTAAATTAATAATGCTATAATATTTAAATTTTTCCAGTACCTATACAAGTAAAATGTATAATATAACAATAACTATAAAAAACAAACAACAATAATACATTTACCTGAAAGTATTTCAAACAATTTAGGAATGTGCTTCAAAAAATTTACTTTCAGTTCATGTTTTCTTTTGCCTAAAAGATCTTCTTTGGGGCTAATAAATTCTTCAGATGATAAAAGCAAAAATGATAAACCCAAAAGAACTTGTTCAGGATTTACAAGCAACTATGTGAATTACAAATATTATTAATAATTTATTTAAATGTTTTGTTCATAATTTATAGAACTGTTACTTGTGCAATGTGATCAATAAAATTTGGATACCGCAAGGGCCAATCATTACGGGCTATATCCACTAATAGCTTGATCATTTTGCTAATCATATATTTCGGATATTCTTTGTGTTTCATCACAATATGATTAAAAATTGCTTCTCTCAATGTTTCTTGAGATTTGAAAGTCATTTTTTCCCACTTCTTATTAATAATCATCTATTTACAAAACATCCACATATGATAAATATCACATTTATAGCAGCTCGCAGCTATAGTCAGTAATAAAAAAAAACTTAATATCTTACCTCCATTATGTTCAGACTGAACATTAACAAATATTGGTTTTTACTGTTCTCCAGATTGTAGCAACATTGCACCCAACATTTGTCTCGCTCGCCAAATTTGTCAAATTCTTCCTGCATACACAGCTTTACGGCGTTGCTGGAATTAGCATCGTAGAACTCTGTCAACATCATCTCATAGTTTTTCATTTCGTGTTCGTAGACCTAAAAAACACGAGAAAATAACAGTCAATCGTATTATTTAAACTCACTCCTGGCATATGGAAAGCAGAAGATATACTTACGACCATGTCTTGACCGTTCATTATGATGGTTATTGTTTGTAGTGACAGTTCAAACTTCCAGACGATCAGGAAAACAATTTGTTTGGCCAACGATTCCCGTGCATTTGACGATCAACCGGCGGCGTCAGATTATATTATTAGTAACGAGGATACGAAGCTTACTGCACTACATAATTCACAATTTACATGATCGCAAATCTTCAGAAACCATACCGTTAAATGTTAATTTACAATTAATAAAGCCAGTAAGCGGTATGCAGAAAGCACAATGAAAACTGTGTTATAGTATTTTTAATTTGTAACAAAATTAAAAACATTTTCGAATGTTATCTCAGTTGCTATCAGATCAGTGTAACCAACCACAAGACTACGTGATATTATGTTATTGTCACGATTTAAGATCTCAGATCATAGAACAATAAATACTTAAATCGTGGTTGTTGTCATTGAATGTGTACCTATAAATTATAATACAAGTTACAACTTACTAAGTTGAACTTAGTAACTTACAACCGGCATCTCTCGCTGGACGGGGTACATACATATTTTACCATTGATAAATAAAATATTAAAATAATAATATATTATATTACACACAACTAAATACTAATCGGAGACTATTCGAATTTCGAAGTATCGAACTAAATTATTTAGTTTTTTTATCATGTATACTGTGCAGTAAGCCAGTAAACAACAGTTATATTTAAATTTAATTCTGAGTATTTAGCCATGGTATAAATTATGATAATTATTGATCATATTATAATCAATTATCAATGAACATATTGGTAATTGGCATTAAGCGATTTGCCATGTAGTATTAATTCATTAAGATTCTTTGACTCTTCTTATTATTATATACAAATATTATTATATAGTACCTATATACGATAATAAGGGAAACTCGTCAAATGTTTTCGGAAACACCAGGGTCTGGCGAACAATTCACTAGTGGTTGCCTATTCATTTCCTTACAATACAATATGTTATATATTTTATGGGATTTTGTATAGACAACCAGTAGTGAAATTATCGTTTTGTCGCCATTAAGTTTCCCGTATTGGCGTATGTAGTACATTCGTTATTAGTTAATATCCCTTAAGTATCTAGATTTGCCTATTTTCTATTAAAATAGCATAACAACCGTACCTATTTGAAATTTAATCGAATAAAAAAAGACATTTTGGATTATTTAAACCCATTATATATATGACCACATGGAGACTTTATTTAGTCATGAGATCAACGGTGAACTTGTCAATATTATCGTAGTTACAGAAGATATCACCATCACTGAATCACACAATCATCGCAAAGACACCATTGTAATTTAAATTTTAAAGTATATTCTATACACAAAACATAGTCGTTATTCATTAAATCTCTTTTCTATTGTGGTATTCGTCTTTATATTTTCACCTGTCGCTTAATACATAGGTACCTACCCGACCACGTTTTAATCTCATGAAGTGGTCAACTATTTCAAAGCTTTTAAACCACTCGATAAAAAATAAAAATTATTTTTAATTTGGAAATTTAGCTTACCAGAATCAAGTAAGTATTCCACTATAAATATGAGAAGGCCAACTAATTACGAATAGATAGTAGTGAATCCTAAGCCTGTGTAAAATTGAAAAATGTGTTTATTAATTGTTTTTTATTTTGAAAAATGTATAACTTATTAATATAGACAACATTATTACAGAAAACTAATCAAATAGGTGATGACAGAAAAAAAAATAACACTGTGAAAGCAATACATTTCACAATCCACTCATCTCAATATATAAAAGTCATTTGAGTATAAGTTGTTATTATGCATTTGATCATGTAATTTCATCAAAATTTAAATAGTCACAACAATTAATGTGGCTTAAATGCTTTAAACTAAGGTTTTTAAAAAAAGTTATCGTGTACCTAGTCTTAATGTACAAGCCTTAAGTATTAAAATAAAATATATAAGTATTTAACTTCAAAATGCATATGAAAGAAAACTAGAAATTTATTTTTTGAATACCACGAGTTCAACTTCTAAGGAACCTTATAATGAACTTTTAAGCGGTTTGACTTAGGAAAAAGAAAAAAATTCAATAATCTTTTTTCTTTTTTGTAACAGTTTTTTTTATTTACAAAACATAAATGTACAAAGGTAACTATAATTTATCATAGGGAACATAAAAATACTTACAAAAAAATGCTTAGAATTAGGTTTTTAAAAATAATAATGTTATGAGATATATATGATATAAAGTTTCATATTAAAAGTAAAAGTCAATATTTTAATGTCCAGGAATGTAGGTTACAACTACATACATTCATATCCGGATACTCGTTGTCTTAACATTATAATGGCATTGGTTATTTTTAATGCTTGACCTAGTGGAACTTTTAATTTTTTCATGATATCATCTTGAGTTAACATTAAAAATGAATCACCATCAATTTCCTATAAAAATAGTCATGTATTAAGTTATGTACAAAATCACAAAAAAAAAAAATTAAAAAATAAATACCTGTTCAATAAAACGATCAGATATACTCATTTCTTTGTTGGTATTAATATTTGATTTATAATAATCCACCACTTTTTGAACATATGAAGCTACTTCTTGAATGGACCATTTTCTTGCATCAGTTGAATTGAATAATGGTATACCTAGTTGAGCATTATGTATGGTCCAAAAACTGGTTTGTGTTTCCATTGATACTGAGCCCAAATTATACCCCAAAATGCTCAAACCAATTGTTTTGCTCAATTTGTTGCAATGGTATCTTGAAATGTCGTTTCTTATATCAGTATCACATTCTGGTTCATCGGCTGCATTCAACAGCAAATTTAATCTAAATAATTTTTTTAGTATCCATAATTATTTTTAATTAACTCAGTTATAAATAAAATAATGACACTTATAAATTGTATGAGTTATAATACCTTTTTCCATTTATTTTTTCTCTGATTCTAGCCATATTCATATGTTCTGTATTTATTCTGGGTTTTTTCTTATTTTCATCAGTTTTAATTTTTGAACTATACGACATTCATTTAATTAAATTAGTTGTCAATCAATAAGAAAACATAAAAAAATAAAATGTATAACTACCTTGGCAATGTTGTGTTAATTATAACATTATGAGCTTTCAATCGATCAGGCATCTTAGCCAACCCAGCAACCGCTGTTTTCCATGAATCCATTTCATATGGACAATCTATTAATTCGTCATGATCCATTTTCAAATTATTTGATGAATTGCCTTTACCTTTACAACCACGAATATTGCAACTCCAGAGTGTATTATATGCTTAAATTAATACATAAAAAAATAAAATAACAATCATTATAAGGTTAATTACTAAAAATTACACATAACTTTTAATTAAATACAGAATAAATGAGCAAATGAAACATTTCAAACGATCAATGTTTTTATGTATTTCTTACATTAGTTATGTGCCTATAATTAATTAAACATAATAAAAGAGAGGCGACTAAATTCAGTAATATTTAGTAACATAATCAGTAAATTTATACCTGGAGGCAGTTCAATTGGATGGTTAGTTTTGGACGACCATCCAACAGGATGTATATCTGGACTATCATCTTCAACCCAGTATGCATAATCATTATCAAATCCATCATAAACAATTTTTAGTTCATCGCCTCTAACATCTACTACCTTAGCAATTCTCAATAGTCTTGGAACAACAAGATCAACAACCTCAATAATCATATTGTTAGAAAAATCTCGTAAAGGTCTACGAATAAATGCATCTTCAGGAACAGGTTTACTATTTGTCTCTACTAAGTATTCAATCCAATCAAAAGGTCTTCTTCCTTTCATATCTAAAGAAATTATAATGTTTTAATACGCATTTAATGATGAAAAAATAACAAGTTACCATTATAACCACTAGGCGGAGACAGGGTTCGACCATTGTTATCACACCATTTTACTGGATGTATATTAGTTGATGTAATATCTACCCAATAATCAAAATCATCTGTCCACCCATCAAAATGAATACGAACACGGTTACCCAATATATCAGCAACAGTGGCAACACATATTAACTGTTTTGGAAGTGTACGAGTTAATTTATCTAATGCTTCTAATTTACCTCCAATATGAAATTTGTGTTGATTTTTACAACTCTATGTATAAAAAATAATACATTACATTTTATAATATAATTTTAAGCTAACAAATTAATCCTTTAACATCTAGGACAAATTTTCCACAATTTTCGGAAAACTTGCAAAAATAGTGCCAGCAATAATTTTCGCAGTATATTATTTGTATGAAAATATGTCCAACTAACCTAAATAAGTAATTTAAAACTGATGACAGAATACATTTAAAAAAAAGCGGGTAAGTGGATGTTGCTCTGCTGTACAGTAGGTTACAAGTGGGTCACTGTATAATGGATGGAATTAAATTTGAATTCAATGATACAATATCATTGTATAAGAAAAACGATTCTGAGTGGAGACGGTATGTCAGTCTTGGTTTAAGACATATTAATACCAATATATCCGAGTCAAAATTCGAAGTTTAAATGCTTATAAAAAAAAATTGTGCATATGTATTTTAAATATTTAACAATTGCTATTGTAAAAATATATCAGGAGCCTTGTATTAAATTTTCAAGTTTTTTTAACCAACAAATAAAATTGTATTGATATTTATAGAAAAAAAACTAAAACAATTGAAAACTGACAATGTCCCTAAACAGTTCAAAAAGAGTCAAATTATTTTCAAAATTTTACCGTTTATAGAAAATGCAAATATAAACAACCTGTGAAAATTTCATATATCTACGGCCATTTGTTTTAGAGTTACACCAAAAACCAAAATCGATTTTACGTAAAAATTCAAGTTTTTCCTTAATTTTTCTTTTGTTTTTCACGTCGCTTTTGAAAACTACTGAGAAATTTTTACTTTTGACCCTCCAAAGTACCAACTAGATTCACTTTCCAATCAGAAAAGTTGCTGTTGAAGAAAATCGAAGCAGTTTTACTGTCCTAAAAGGTGATGACAGACACAAAAAAAAATCAAAAAAATCTTTCCACTCAGAATCTAAAATATGAGATATTATGTGAATAAAAAAATTTGTTGGTTTTTATAACTAACCAATATTAAATTAAGGTTGAAGTTGTATTTAATTATTTCACAATTTTAAATACAAATTTAACCTTGTTGGTTAAAGATCATTAATTTTTACCAGTATAAAATAGTAATTTACTATCACTTACATTAAGGTTTTTAGTTGAGACGAAATTGCGTTTTGGAGCAGGTAGGGCTTGACATTCTCTAAGGTAACTAATCCAATCAAATGCATTTTCATAACTGTATGGTGGTTGTAGAATGCGTGAATTCATTTCACACCATCCCGGATGAAACAAATCTGGACAATCTGCATTTACCCAAAAATCATAATCATCCTCATAACCATCAAAATGTAATTTGATGCGGTATCCTAAAAAAAAATATAAACATACCAAACATTACAAATTTAGTTAATTAAAGTCATTACTCATCACCATAAAAGAGTTATAAGCATAGGCACAAATATGGAATGGTTTGGGGGGAGGAGATTAGCACCCTAATTTACAGTATATTTTTTATTTTTAACAGAATTAAGTAAATCCATCTCTATTAACACAATATTTGATATTTTATGTTGTATACAGTGTTTGTTTATTTAAGGTTTTTTTATTAGTAATTTCAATACTCCAATTGATACAACTAATATACTAACAAATTAATGTGTAATTAAGACTACATAATAACTTTCAGGATTTATTCAGAATTCAAAAGATAACTTAAGACCAACATTTATATTTATTAAAATATTAAGAAAGAAAACATTAATTTGTAAGTAATGCAGAACCAATTAAAATGCATAGAAGAATTTAATGTAGCAATAATTTAATCAATCAACTTGTCTACTTGTGAAAGGCAGTTATCACTTATCAGCCGTAAAAAAGTGAACAAATGTATGAGATAGACAATGCTACTGCAATTGTGATTGAGTTGATTAGGGTTACTTAATATTGAAAAAGCTATAATTGGTAAATAATCAAAAAAAGTCCAACAGGAAATCACTTGTAATGTTGTACATAAGTAATAATATAATTTTTCTTTCAACTATTGTAAATTAAAGCAATATTTCAAGTCAAGTCAGGAGTTTTTAAGTAATTATACTATTTATTTGTTAAAAAATAGAAGTGCTTAATCTCCTCTCAATGTAATTTTCTATTTGCACCGATGATACCAAATGAAATTTAGTTAAAAATTACCACAAACTTCTGATACAGTCATAACACAGAATAGTGCTTCGTGTTTGGGATCAATGCCTTCTAGTTTTTGTCCTACTACAAAGAAGTTCTTTTCAGTGGGAAAAGGTCTATCAAACAATTTTTTAGGGGCAGATCTAAATTGCAGCCCTGTCATATATTTTAATACATCTTTATCTTCTATGAGAGGCTAAAACAAAATATAAACATACAGACTTCATCAAAAATTAAACTGTTATGTATAAAGTATACTTTTAGATCAAAATAGTTATCATCCTCATCCTCATCCTCATCATCATCATCATCATCATCTATCACTATTGGACAACTCATTGGCAGTGATGAGTTTAGAGATTGATTTTCATCTTCTGATGGTTTATTAAAAAAATTTTTTAGCTGTGTATTAAAATCGTCATTTTCTGTAATTATTTCTGCTGGACAAGAATTTGTTAACAATTGTTTCCTTTTATGTATTCTATTTTCCAATTTTGTTAAAAGGTGTTTTCGGTCAACAGTAGTGTTTTTGGATACATTGGAAGATTCATCAACAAAATGTTCTTCTTCAGTTGCTGTTTCAGTTTGTTTTAAGTCTAAATTTTTACATGTAAAACTACAGTATAAATCATCAATTAGTTCAGGTTCATACACCAATGTATCACAATATTCATATTTGCAAGAAATAAACTGATCAGATGTATCATCTGAAAATAAACATTATAAATATGTATTAAAAAAATCTTATGCAATTATGCAGATTAAGCTTATAATAAACGTTTTACCTTCATCAGAAGAGTCAGTCTGAGCATCTAAATCAATAATTTCGTCACACAATGGTACTTTATACTTATTTGAAGGTTCTTCAACTGCTCTTCTAAAATTTGAATTCTAAAAAAAATTATTAATTGTGTAAATAGAATATTGACCAACCAAAAATAATTAACAAACAATATCTGTGATGTACGAGTTTCAATATTATTTACATTTATTATTTCATCATCAGGGCCACTTGAATCATCACTTCCATCTTTTAGCATTTCATAAGAGTTCAATTTTGTATTAGATTTTGTAAGAGAGTTTGCAGATAAAAACTGAATTGTTTTATGATCATTTTTAGTTATTTTACCTGAATTGAAACAAATGATATGTAATTTATGGAAATAAAATAATTTTAAATAATAATTTATACCAACCATATCTAGCACAACTTAACGGTAGACTATCTGATTGCTTCAAAGATGCTGAATTTGATGACAGCTTAATAAACCTAGGCGAAGTACTCATTTTCTGGTGATAATTTGTATTCATTTTAACCTCCCCATTTTTTACAAAAATATTAGAATCCTTTTCTATTGAATCTTTACTTGTAACAGTATGAGGAATAAACTTTTTATTTCTACTCTCATTGCTAAGTTCATTTTGTCTAGACATTTTACTCCAAGAAGACTTTACAGCTGGCACATCAAGTATTTTATGCTGAACATTTCCAGTTTCCTTAATATTTGCAAATTTATATGGATTTCCTAAATGAAAATAATCAACTTTATGCCCATTTGGAGAAGGATTTGTAGCCAATTTTTGTTTAGTAAAATTATGGTTACGTTTGAATACACTTTCAAAACTATTGGGTACCTGTCCTTGATTTGTTACCATTTTATATTTTCCCTCAGAGACTGGTTGCATTCGAGATATGAACTTTGAGTCTTCTTTATTTTTACCCTTTAATGCATCTTTTGACGACATGACCATAAATTGTTTTGTTTGTTCATTTGGTCTAATTACAGTACCAGATGTTTTTAATGTAGGTGATAAGGAAGAATTAGACTTTAACAATGGTTTTGTAGGCATTCTTTTGCTTATCATATAATTCATACCATTGTGTGGGACAAAATAAACTTCTGATTCTGATTCCTTCGAAGATGTGATTTTCAATTGTTGTTTTGGTTTCAAACAACTTTTTTTACGACCAACTTCAATATTACCTAAAGACTCTGGTCTTAAGCGTGTAATTATAGTTTTTGGCCTGTCAGCTGTAGCTGTGGATGCTATTTTAAATTGGTTAGATTTTATCAAAGGATTGAATTTCACCAAAGAGGAGTTATGTTTTGGAACAAAATATTTCTTTACGTTTAAAGAATTATTTTCTTTTTGTCTTGTAAATAAGTTTGTATTTTTAGTAGCACCAGATACATTATTTTCCTTTATTTGCACCATTTCATCATATATTTCAACATCAGAATCATCTTCTGAATCATCACTCACTATAATGTTTTCTTCGGGTATTTTACCTGAAGTACGCTTATTCAATTCTTTTCTTGCATCTATAATTCCACAATCACTGTTGTCACTCAACAAATCATCATCATCTACATCATCATCATCATCTTCAATCACCATTAATGATTCATTACGCAAAGAGTATCGAGGTAAGTCGTACTGAAAACTAGTTTCTCTTGTATCATCATAACCACTATACAGCAATGAATCACGATCATTATATGAATCAACATCCATTATGGTTTCTATATTTTCATCAGATTCTTCCATGTTTTCTTCAGTAAAGTTATCATATAAACCCTGGAAAATATCTTCAATTATTAAAATAATTTCAATGCATATTTTATTATTCTACAGTAGTATTATTGAGAAAATGTTAAAGGTACAAAAAACACAACAATCTATACATTTAATCTGTTAAGCTTCAAAAAACTTAAGAATCAAATTGATAAAATAATATTTCAAAAATAGTTAATGTTCAATCAAAATGTTTAATCAAAAATACCTAATGTTATTTTTAAAAAGATAGTAACATCATAGGTATTAAGTTTGTGTTAGTTTCTATCTGATCTATCAACAATATTTCCAACTTTTAATTTGTTGTCCTAAGTTGCCAGTCCACAATATACTTTATATACCTATCAAATAAATTGACTTGCTGAAAAAATTGCTACTAAACTAGAAAAATATCAAAATTCTACATAATATTGTATTTTTATGACTTCCTGGCAAAGCTCAAGTATTTGACATTCTAACACACAATAATACACAGCACATTGTGTGCTGATCAGTTATATTCTCTGATCCACTCTATAAATAAACAAACTAATATCTTAGTCACATCACATTTGCTATACTAAAATTGCTTAAAACAATAACCAAATAAGAAACATTCAATGACTTCCAAATTTTAAATTGAAATAGTATTTAGATATAAAGTTCATTCTACATGGCTATAAAATTTCATCTGAATATACATCACTATTATAGTTCTACCTTCAACCTATTTTTAAAGGGCTAAAATAAAAACAATTTTTAAGTGTTTGATGGTTTTCTAAAAAAATTGCTAACCACCAGGCAACTTATATCAAACGTACCTATTTATATTTGTATGAACCAATTTATATTCATGTTGAATAAATTGTAAATTTTAAAGTAATAAAAAGTAATGAAAAATATATGCACTAAGTAGCTAACCTACCCTAAATGTTTAAGTATACTTAAATAATATTTTTTAAATGCTAACACTAATGTATGTTACCATAATTTAATTCATGCAGTTCAAGATTTATATAATAAAAACATTAAAAATTAAACAATGGGAATTCAAAATAAAAACAATATTATTAACATTTTTATTATACACTGAAATTTTAAAATCAGTAGATTAAAAACTATATAAACATATTAAATTGCAAAATTAACATAAAAGTTAGTATAAATAGAATTAATTAGCGTAGAGTAATAAATAATTTATTCATATTTTCAAATAACGAATGATTTTAATAATATTTATCCCCATATTTAGGTAGTTAGGTTAGAGTATTAAGTACAATGAGAAGCATAAATATTTATTTAATTGCATTGGCAACAAATCTTTCATTTTAAATGGGAAAAATTAAATTATTAAATTACATTATATTAAACAATTAAAAAATATCAAAAATTAAGAATGTTTGAATTCTTGTTTGAATTTGTTTTATCTGTAATACCTTATAATATAAGATTTTGTTATTATTTATTAATAATTGGTGTAAATAATACTTCAACTTACATGTAAACATCATTATTCATTAAAATGTCTCCATAAACTTCAAACACAATAAAAATAAAGATAGGTATTAAAATATAGAGTATTGTTTTTCAAATTTGCTCCATAAAATAATTATGTAAAAAACGTAAAAAAGTGAGTAGAGAAGATTAAAAGTGAATGTATTATGTAGTCAGTAATGTCTATTTTCAAATTTCCATCCTAATGTATGGTGTCTACTTATAACTGTGTTATAACTAATAACTAATAAAGTCACTGGAAAATTCTATATAGTACATACATTAACCATAGACGAAGATGAGTTAAATGATAAAAAGTTTATAATAAAAATTGTATTGGTTGTTGGTAACACGAGTGGAGCCGAGTAGAACGAAATGTCATGGAGTAAAAACAATGACCAAAACACGAACGACGAACGTCCAATGGTCTAATATTTTTCGAACTGATGCTCCCCAGTCCCACAACTGAACGAAGAATGCTGGTAGCCGAATGACTACAACTACGAGTTACAGTCTACAGAGTTTACGCTTCTTACGAGTGATACAATCTATACAATATAGTAGGTAAAGGCTACCGTATACAACAACTATAAATATACAGATTATACAAGCAAATGTATAATGGTCTTATAAGTATCGATAATATATCATAGTACATCGACAATATGTCGTAGATTCATTATTAACATGTGAGTACAGGTGTCAGGTGGATACTCATTGTTAGGTTAATTTCACAGAAATTAGAAAACACAATTCGTATTTTGTATCACACTGTTGATGCATAATTGTATTCGTTTGGGTATTGGACCTTGGGGGCGAAGACGTGAAATAACAATCGATTTTTGTCTATACCCCACCACTTGGAGGGGGATGGAAAAACTATTATTATTATATACAAATAGTATGCCTAATGCCTTGAAGAAAATAAGAAAATATGCCACCCGGCGCAAAACTGTAAATAAGAGAAATTTGAAGTAATATTGCTAACACTGGTAAATGGTCAGTTCAACATTGTTTTGGGCATTAGGCTTATCGTAAAATGTTCAAAATTCAAATGCGAATCATCATCATGAGTTCGATTTTCCGCTAAGAGGCAAGCTAATTTGGCCCCCTATAAACCGTGAATATTTTAAAATCGAACATAATCGAAATTCGTCAATTCCATTGATAATGCATGTAAACGTATGGGGGCCTTAGGCAATGACCACTTGACACTCGGATCTCGAGAGTTAGGAGTCAAAACTCAGCCAGTCGAATTCAGTTTTCAGCGACAACTGACACTATACATAACACTACAACAGTGTCAAACGTCGTCAACCTCAAGCAAATACATCCGCGGTAACATAGTGCCTGTCTAATTAATCAAAAAAAGATGGTAACTAAATTCTGAATAATTTTAACCATAAAAAGGCACCACCCCAAACCCCTCACTATATTTTTCAATCCAGCGTATGTAAATAATAAACATATGCAAAACACGTAGGTACGTCGAAAAGACGTAATTTTCAATTTGTTAAAAGGAACACAGGCTACACAGTGAAAAAATACAATTGTAAATAATATAGAGAAGTAGGTAATTAATTTGTTAACACAATATTTCCTAAAATATTGACTTTAAAATGGCACCATTTCGTAATTAGGTACATTGATTGTATCATCTTTGTAATTTTTTTTCTATTTTAGCAACGATTACTACGAATACTATTATTTTAATTTTGAAATCTATTATTTTATCTAGTACCTTATCAATTATCATTGTTATTTTTATTTCTTAGTATAAACAGACTAACTAAAATAAATACTTTGTGTTAATGTGTTATAAATAGCTCACTTATATTATCTATCTTTCTATTATTAAGAGCTACGACCCTTGAATATAGTTTTGGAAGAAAAACTAGGAAATGAATATAGAAGTTTTAAGTATTAAAAAATGCTTTATTGTTGTAAAAAATAACATAATGGTATGACAATTTAAAAATTTAGATACACACTTACTTGCAAGTGATGAATTTATTTTACCCAACAATAATTCAAATAAGTAGTAGGTAAATTGGCATATCGGTCTTCTTTTGAACTTTTGAATTAAAAGAAGTGTGTTTCCCAGTTTAAATGATTTATCATATTTTTATCAAACTCGCACGAAATGTTATAAGCGCCTGCGCAGCATCGTTTTTAGTGACACGCTCCAGTCGAGAAAAGAAAATTGAAAAATAAAAATTTATACAGAGAACTAAATATGTGTAATATCATTGTATATGTTATACTTATACATATTACTAATATGTATAAGTATAACATACATTATTATTTTCATTGATTTACAAAGAATATAGCCGGCAGTGGGGTTGTTTCAGATAACATTTACTTTACCGCTTAATTGAGTGTAAAATAGTATATTATATTCAATATAATATTTTAATTTTTAACAAATAATTTTTTTGGATTTAATTCAGAAAAGTTTTTAAAAGATCATTAAATTCGGATTTTAAGGGAAATATTAAAAATATATTTTTTAGCTCCCTATAATATGAACTACTCAACTATTTATGTGAAACCTTGTCTTAAATTTTCAATCCTTAGTTATAAAATTTAATACTTTAGATACAAAATATTATACAAATGTTCGTGATTTTGATGTATTTTGTACTCCTACTCACCATTTGTACTCGAGATGCTTATAAAAAAATCGTGCCTATGTGGCTATGTATCTTAAATATTTGTCAACTACTTATAACAACTTATGAGAAATCTCTTGCATTACATTTTCAAGCTTTTGATTTATCGATGATAACAGAAAAAATTTAAAGTTAAAATGTCTATAAATAGCTCAGAGCTATATTTTGAAAATGTTGCCACGATAGAAGACGATGGATTATATTAATATTTGCCGAAAATTTCAACTTTTTAAAATTACTAGAAACTTTTACTAAAATAAATACATTTTTCCTTACCAGAAAAGTTTATTAAGTAGAAAATCAAAGCATAGTTACTGCCCCAAAGAGTGAAGACAGACACAAAAGAACTAATAGTATGCATATTTTATTATAATTAGTGGCGTGTACAACTCATAGTATTGTTATACCTGATACTAACCAATAAAATATCTTATTTTCTTTCTATCCATACCTACCCATCCATTTTTAATGCATTTCTTGAGCAACACTCGGACCATTCACCCTATGTAACACGACACCGAGTATAATATTATATACCAGTATAGCAATTGAGCTTCGGCAGTACCCAGTAACCAGTGTAGGGGCGGCTCCAGGAGGAGGCCCCCTACCAAGCACTATATTATAATTATGTTAAAAACAAAATTAAGAAAAAAAACATATTGTAATACAGAAAGTTTTCTGAAAATTGTGCCCCTTTTCCTCCATCCATGACTCTGGAATCCATCCCTGTACCAGAGTTACTTGTACAGTCAACAACTACAACAGCCGAACATAATTTTAGTTCGTATTTTACATTCGCAGTATCAAACAAAAACAATACAACTATGGATATTGAATGGGGAAAAAAGGTAAAAATTGTATCAAAGGTCAAACCCAACAGGATGAATATTATGAAGCATTGATATGTAAACATTATGTCACCATAAAAAATTACTTTTTCTTTAGGCGAATACCTAGTTTTAAGTTTTAAAGACGTTTATTACATTTTTATAATTAAAATTAAATTGAAAAGATGTTACTTAAGTTATCTTTTAGAGTTTTAGCTGGAACATAAGAATATCAGTTTATAATTAATTCATTTCAACTTTCAAGTTGGTTTATCTATTGGCGATCGACATTCACTGTTGGTTCTTGGGATTGAGATGGCACTATGGCAAAAACAATGTTATACATACTTTTAGAGTTATACTACTGTTACCACATGTTATTATACATATGTTATTAAAATAGTAAATAGTAAATTACTTAATCATTTATCATACCTAAGTAAAATAAGTATATACCCAGAGATGATGGAGATGGATTACCTATAAGTATTAGTACATGTTGTAATAACTACTATATTAGTGTAGTAGTGTAATGTTGTATTTGTTAATTTTTTAAGGTTAAAACCCATGCATTTACATTTTGAAGAAACAATTTTTTGATAAACAATGTTCAGACTTGGATTGCATTACTTCATTTTTTTTAAATGGGTTTTTGTAGCTTTTTCTTTCACTTAAAGAAATTAGTGTTCACAGAAAAAAAAATATTTGTAAATGACAATATTAATGTAAAACTGTTGATCATAGAATAGACTTCTCTGGAATCAATGGTAAAACCATTATAATTATTCTGTGGTATAAATAATACATTCATATTTCATTTCTTCGCTCAAGTCAGAATTCAAAATAAGAAAACTAAAATATTAATTTATTTAACCAAAAATGGTGACCTTATCTTTATCTACCTAGAGTAGTTCAATGGCTGTGACTATTATTTTTTCTATACATTTATTTAAATTAGTATTTTTTTTTTTTTTTGTTAAAACATATTGTTATTTATTTAATAATAATTCAGAGTATTAAAGTAACTTTTATAGTGTGTTATTTACATACGTATATATTACAAATTAAATGCACTTCAGCTGTCTCCAAGTAAATCAAAATATTGTCCATAATTAGTTGAATAAGTGTTACCTACAAGGATCTACAAATTATAATTACTAAGAGTTATGTCTTTGGCATACATAGCTAAGCAATCCAGATAATTCAATGATCATAAGAATCATACTTGTAAAAGACAAATTATGATTTTCCGGTTAAATATAGATTTCAATAGATCTTTGGGGACTATTTTATACTACTTTATTATAATTGTTGGTTAAAATCAAACCTGTAAGTACATCAATTTAATTATTCTAATAAAGTAATGCTTTAACTGTACAAACATACCACATTATTAATACGCCTTGAGAAGCTTTTAAAAAATATGTAGCTTAAAATTGGAGATCATTAAATACACATATATCTATGTTCCTACATGTCAAACTGGGGCCCTATTTTGGACTCTGGAGCATTATCGAAATACTGAAAGCATGATACAACAGTCAACAATAGTGTTATTATTTTTAAATAGGCATAAACATATTTAGTAACATGTTTTTATAAAATGTTTGGTATCTACCTTACTATGATTTTTGTACTTATTTTTTTCAATTGGCAACCTAATTTAATTTGAAACATTGTTTTCTTTCGATATTAAGTGTCAGTGAGCAAAACTTAAATTCCAACTATAATATAGCTATAACGAGTTCTTTTAAAAAATAAATAAATGTTGATGTTCTTAAAGAAGAAAGCAGCAGTTTCATAAGGTTGTTTCATATGATTTTATCATTACAATTAAAACAAATCTATTACACATTTATAGTAGAATAATAGGTTTTATTAGTTGAGACTTATGGTTAATCAAATACTCTATATTTTGGTATTTAGCAAGGTATTATTTACTTGCATTCATATTTACCTTTAAAAATTAAAAAAACATACGTTAGGTCATTTTTATAATAGAAAGCATAATATAGGAATAAATGAACTTTGGCACCCAATGCAAATTTTTCGATTTTTTTTTAAACTTGTATTAACTATTTAAATACAATGGTGCAATCACAATTTGTTGGTCGGACTTAGTTTCGAAGTTATTGCCTTTGGAAGTTACCAATTTTTGCGTTTTTTTACACCCAATGATATTAATATTAAATTAATTAATAGTTTCTAACTGTGTCAGACTTTAATAATAAGTAATAGTAATTCCAATACATACTCACGTTTGATAATTTAAAGTAAGTACCTAATTATAAAAGAACGTTTAAACAACATATTTTAAACTTCGATAAAAGCCATAAAATTAAAAAAAAAAAAAATTGGTTGATTGGAATTTAAACCACCAGAGCGCATCTGATTAGATTGTTTTCAAGGAATTGTTAACAATAATATTGTGAACACGATTTTTAAGTTTTTATAATCGTGATTGTATCGTGATTGTAAGTAATTAAACAAAATAACGCGAATTGAATAATAAGCTTCCTAAAATTAGGCGTCCAAATGCAGGTGTACCACCTACGGTTGTTTATCGGAGGTTTATCTACCTTCACCCCACGACGCAGCCAATGTTCAGACTGGCGAACATGCCGGTATAGAAGATTTCCTGTACATTAATTTCTCATCAATTTGCTGCATGCCTGCATCTCACAGCAGCGGTATTTTCGGTGACCAACCTGTGTGGGGATGTGTTTAGTGTTTACTGTTTGGGCATAGGACAATAAAATTATTCTGTGTAATGTGTATTGGGTATTTAGGCATTGCCTGTAGACAGTAGACCACTCGACCGTTTTGACGACATGTCATCGATCAGCTGCATGTGTTGCACTGGTGCGCGGACTGAGACCAAAACGTCTCCCGATCTTGTCTCACACTGACATACGTCTGTATTGCCGTGTATAGTTTTGTAGATGCGTGCATAATACTTTTTATTGTTGTCTTGCCTACGTTAAATGCGTCCGTCGATCGTGAATTGGTAACATTCCGTAGTATTCCGTTACGATTATTATGTGAAAACAATCTTACCAGTTACCTTCATCATTAATGTCGTTGAAATACATCAATTCTTGTTGCATATAAAAACTACAATAACAACAGCAGTTAATATTGACGCCAACGATAGCGCTTCACCGTCGACCGTCGTACAGACTCGACTCCACGGTATAAATACAAAAGGTAGTATATCTAACTTATAATAGTTTTAATATGACATTGTGATTAGTATTAAGAGGAAAATAAAGCTACTTCGTCCTGTCCCGGCGTTTTGTGTTGTTGCGTAATTTTTATCATTTCGTTTACGCGTCTTGTGAGATTTCAAGATGTCGTCGATGATTGTTGGCATGCGACAACCTAAACTACGAGCGATAGGTACTTGTGTGGATATTGTAAGTATGTGTAGGTAGGTAGGTGTTTTATATTTATTTACAAAGGTTAATTTATGCTGTAGTCTGATCTCATAATGAACATGATCCTACATTGTGTACCCGTTGTCGACGATTTTCTGAAATCGGCGTACTTTTTTTTTTTTTAATGCAATGTTTACAATCTACACAACAAGTAGTACAATAAGTAAATTTGATAATAAGGTAGTATAATACATGACTTGAATGACTTGAGGGGGGAAAACTGTCCATCAACAGTACCTCCTAATAATGATGGGTTCTCAATGGAGACCGTTTTTTTTTCGGCGTACTTACTACGAAAAAAAGGCAAACGAGGGGTTCTTATATATTTTCAGATTGCAATATGTAGGTTAGGTATAGGTATAGGTATGTCAGAAAAATTACAAATTTCAATGCACCCACATAACATGCTCTGTTCAATAAATGTGTAATTATTCTACCCATGTTATAATTTATTATTATGCTTTTAAATTTATTTTTTTTTTTGACTTGTAATATCTTGCTAAATTAACAAATTGCTTTATTTTGTGCCTTTTTGTTATTAGTTAATTTTGTCATTTCACTACTTAGTGTTAACTTAAATTTGTGTTTTGGTTTACAGTTGATTACAATATATATTGTTTTCTTAACAATCGATAAAGATGGGTCAATTTGTAAGTTCAAATCGCAATGACAAATGCAATGATGAGCTTGTTAATACATTAATTAAGAGAGAATATATACACTCAACTATTGTGGAAAAAGTGTTCAGATGTGTAGATCGAGGATTATATCATACCGATGATAATAAACTAAACGTCTATAGAGACTCAGCTTGGCAATCGGGAGATATTCATTTGTCTGCCCCAAGTGTTTATGCTACTGTTTTAGAATGTTTGGATCTCCACAAGGGTGAAAAGTTTTTAAACATTGGTTCTGGAATAGGGTATTTCAGTACTATAGCTGGTCTTCTATTGGGTAAGTTTTATCTTATTACTTATTTATTGTACTACCCCTAACCAATTTATAAAGCTTAGATTGATCGTCAACATATTTTTTCTTATTTTTATAGGTGTTAATGGTGTTAATCATGGTATTGAAGTTCGTGCTCCTTCTATAAATATTGCATATCAGAAGTTGGAGGAATTTAGACTTAAGTCTGCAGCAATTGATTATTTTGAATTTTGTGAACCATTATTCATCGAAGGTACAATATATCTTATTCATGATAAATAAATAATTCAAAGTGTCTAGTAATAATATTTAACATTTGCTTTACAAAATCCATGTTATAAAATAAATTTAAAAAACGAAGGAAGTTGCTTTTCTGTGCAGTAGTTATTGAGTCTTCTTTGTTGTTTAACAGGACACTGATGAATGTGTGAATCAATGATAATTTATTGTATCTGTCGGTCAATATTTCTAAAAATATTTTATTATATAATATGTTTATTGATATTGTATTCCTCTACCCTGTGCACCAAAACAACGCAACTAGCTTTGATGTCTCAAGCCCAAATTGTCCACGTCATATGACCAGTATTTGTATCCCAGAATATGATTTTGTCCAATGTATTTTGGCATAAAGGGAATAGTCCTAGCTTTCTTGAAGAGATAGATTTGTAAATATTGATTTATTTAATGTGCCGCCAGATTGTTTTCTCTCGTGGCACAGAGTATAGTAATTTATTTCGTATTCCTTATACAGTAGGTTAAATTAATTTTTGCCAAAAACATAACCTTTGTTACATATTAATTATTATAATAATATACAAGTATCATCATTATTAACTTATAATCAATGTTGACATGCCCTAGAAGTTTAAAATTAATATAAATATTTTTTAATGTCGTATGTATAGGAAATGCATGTGAACTGTTGACAGTGGGTTATTATGATAAAGTCTATTGTGGAGCTGGAGTACCGCCGGCAGAAACTTCATTTATGAAGGCTCTTATTAAAGTACTGTTTTATTCAATTGTAAATTTTTAATAATAATTGAATTAATTAAACTTTTCTCATCTGTATTCAGGTTGGTGGTGTATTAGTTATGCCATTGGAAGGGTTCCTCGTGAAAGTAATAAGAAAAAGTGAATACTCATGGAAAACAATTGAAGTTTTGGAAGTATCATTTACAGATCTTGTTGTGCCAGATAAATGTAGTGTTATGAAAGTTACAAAGTTTCGTAAGTTAATATATTATTGTAAATTGAAAATAAATATTATATTTTTGTTGTTTTTCAGCTTCTGTTGAACCAGCGAGTTTACAAGAGCTATGCAGATCAAACATTCGTTCATTCTTCCGAGATTCCTTGAATAAAACTCATCCTGGCTTGAAAATACGCACTAAATGTAAACCAAGTAAAAGTTATGATGATAAATTTTTTAATTCTGATCCGTTAAGTCAATTTGTCCGCATACAATATGGTGCAACTGAAGGGGGAATGGTTAGTTTACGGAACATTGTAGATACGTTTGCTGGTTTGGATGAGGCAATATCAGATCTGGGTTCTACATCAGAGAATGAGGCTGTTGATGAAGATAACAATGGCAACGACAGAGATGATGATGAAGAAAAAAATACAAGTGAACAACGTGATAAAAGTTTACCTAAGAAAACTGAATCAGATGCTAAAAGAAAATCATCAGAAGCTGGATGTTCTGAACAAAATAAAACATCACCCGGAAAACCAGAAAACACAAAAAGAATGAGAATGAACACATCATCTTCTACAGCCAAAAGTTTTTTAAATAGCCAATCTACCAATAGCGGTAGTAGTTTATGGGATACTTTGTCTAGTGATTCATCCGATTCTGATGATTCTGATGATGGTCGCAATCTCATTGATCCTGAGTGGTTGGCATCTATGAGAAATAATGCTCCCAATGGCTTGAGGCATGATGATTTCGGTGGAATCTATAATTCTTTGTTTAACGGTGATAATATCCATGACAGTGATACTGAGAGTGACATCGCTAGAGAATTGGTATTATATCGCTTTCTGAACGAACGCAAAGAAAATGAGTTGAGTAAATTTCTAAAGGGTAAAATTGATAAGTTACCAATACCAGCTATGCTCAAACAGTTTCTCAACTATAACAAAGAAGATTAATTTTATATTCGACTTTTTATGAAATATTTTTTTTGTTATATCATCATTCGATTATTTAGTTCTTAATATTTTTTTTTGTATATAATATATATATCTCAACTATACGTTTTTTCTAGTTCAGTTGTTAATTCTAAGAACTTTATATGATTTGTATATTATTAACTATTAATTACTATGTCTTAAGCATATTCAATTTTTTAAAGTATTCAATGTTTAAACAGTGGGCAACAATAATTTCCGAAGAATACAATTTTCCCCTCCAGACTCATAGATGCAGGAAAATAAAATATAAATTACACATATATAAATATGTATTATATCAAATTGTGTTGTGTTAAGATTTTTTTGAGATTTTTTTAAGATACAATTTTTTTCTGAAGATTTTGTTTAAATATTTATGTAATTTTATTTACCTTTATAAAAGCCAGGATATGATATTATTATATTATTCTGTTTGATCCATTTCATTTACAATAATATACATTTAATAATATTGTCAGACGTGTAAATGTCACAAGGATTATTATAGATTATAATCATTAAAGTGTACTAAATATTTAAAATATAATATGTAAATATTAATAAAAGAAAGATTTCATAATGACTTTCAGGATTTTTTATGAAACCTTTATGTGGAAATTCATAATAATAATTAGTTAATTATGAAATAAATTAGTCACGATTCTCAATAAGACTAAAATAAACGTTTATTACTTTTAAATTATAAGTATTTAGGACTGGGTAGGATTTTGTTATTTTCATGCGTTAAGTTAACACAGTAAAGCAACATAGGTAGTAGAGAATAAACAGTATGTGCCTGACAAATAAGGTTGCAGTGCTTTATACGTGTCCTATAATATTTATCCAACATCAAAGGTTTTCATTTAGACTAGTAGCTATATTTTAACAGTATAATTTAGGTACCGTTTGAATAATGAGAGGAAAACAAAAAAAAATATATATCAGCATTTGTAAAAATAAAAAAAAAAATAAAAACATTAATACTTAGGAACAACATGTGGACCTGTGAACTGTTTGACCTTGCAGTCAATGTTCATTGATTTACTGATAGTGTAAGATAGATCATCGGGATAAAGTTGCGCTAAGTCATTAATCGGAACAAAAGCGCACAATTCATGACTGTAATGTGTGAAAAACTTGCCAATATTCTTAAAACTGTAATCGTAGGGTTTCAGTTGTCGCTGCAATTTTTCTGTAACAAAATGTTTATGATGGATCAGAAACTATACTTAATACAAATGTGTAGTTTATACATAATTAATAGCAACATAGCATCAAGTTAATACAAAAGATATAATTATTTGTTAAACAAAAGCATAAAAGGTTGTGAAATAAATAATAATTATAAGAATTTCATTTGGTTCTAGCAATAATATTTAAAGTAAGTTGATTAATCGATTCATTCAAAATATGTATTGTGTAGCATTAAAATATCATAAGTCATAACTATCAGCAGCCAAACACATAATTATATTTATAAATAATGTTAACATTATTTTTCAGATTGTATTAATGCACTCATACTTTACCATGGCTATTAACAAATGGCCACACATGGCAATAATAATTTACAATGAATTAAAAGTTTTTTTTTATGGATTGTGAATAGTATTAATTTTCATTAGAAGTATAGTTCAACTAGTTAATGTTAAATTATGAACCTGATAATGTTTATGGGCGAAATTTAAATTTCTGTGTTCTACCCATTATCCTGCATCAGTTTACAACAACACTAATTTACCCTCTTGGAGAAACTGTTGTTACTCCAGTAATATTTCTTTACTTTCCACCCACATCTGTGTGACTCAATTTCTCTTCCTTAAGTTTTAAAGTCTCATTGCGTACCAATATGTTAAAAGTTAAAAGAACCTCTTGCACATTCCTTTCTGTCCTACCAATTTATTATCTAGCAAATAAACCTTTTAATGACATAAAAAACTAATGAGATCACCAACTAAATCTAATATGGGAATATGGTTTTAATGGCTCTTGTGGTTTTCAAGATTACCAAATCTATACTCATAAACTCAAAATCATTAAATTTTTTAAGAAAACATATTTCAAATGCAAACACACTGCAAAACTATGGAACAACATGGGTTTTGGGACACTGTATTATGTAGTATATATCAGAAACAGCTAAGCAATCGATCTCGGACAATTTCAAAGTCGATCCCTCCCAATAATTGTTAGAACTTATTACGATATATTATATAGTAGATAGTTGCATACATATTTTGCATCGCCTTGTTTGTGAGAAATAGCTTATTTTCACATGAAAGTGTTAAAAGCTAAATACCGAGCTACATTTTGCTACAGTATAATTTGAAATGTAGAGCAGCATTTTTATAGAGAGAAGATAGCGATTATATCCCAGATTATAACTAACTGGTCAATGAATGATATGCAATGACACGATTTAACGCCAACAGACTTATGTTAACTCATTTTAAAATTATTTAGAAATTTAATTTGAAACCTAGATTTTTAGAAAAACCTATAATAATATTATATTATTTAAAATTTTAAAAATATATTTTATTTTCTATTATTGATTGGGGCCACATTTATACATTAGCGCCCTTGGTGTTCCCTCTTCTTTTGGTTTTGGACTTCTCTAGGTTGTAATCTGAGTTATCTAACTGATGAAATAAATTAAATTAAGAATCAATTAATTTAAATGATACATGAAAAAGTCATTATGATTAATGTTCAATTTTGAAATAATGAAATTATTCATTAAGTTTGGTTTATTATTTTAGAAAAGCCATATATTTTTAGTGAGAACTTAACACACTTTGTCTTATATGATGTATAAATACTTTTGAAAAATATTGTCATGCAAAAGTAATTGATTCAAATAGAATAACCATAAGAAAAGGCATTTAAATGCAAGAATAACATTTCTTTGAAAAAAAAACATTTTCAGCCAATAGTCAAAAACAATTCCGACATACCATATCTGCCTTCCCATATAGCTTTGATAACAGGGTTTTGATATTTGGCTGTACTGAAATAATGATCAGGTCTGATCAGCACATGGTAAATAGTTGGATTTGGCAATGGGTTGTTACTGGGCACCCTTGTCCAGCCCACAACAACACCACGTTTAGTCACTATACTTGAACAAGAGCCATTACCCATTGTAATAGTGTCAATCATCATGCCAATTGAATATTTTGGATCATGAATCTCACCACGTTTTTTAGGTACTAGGGGGAAAATTTCTTCCCACTGATCGTTAAAAGAAGTTACATGTTAAATATTTCAGTAATCAATATATACAATAAGTTGTATCACTTACATCTGTGTACATAATGTTCTTCTCATCTACATGGTTTGGAGCCTGGAAACAGTTAAATAAAAACTATAAATATATCTGATAGTTATAAAAAATTTAAATGTAAGGTATTGCAGAAAAGTAGAATACTCACGTAGGGATTGGATGGATTTCTGAGTAAGGGACATCGACAATAGTCATAATATTGATGGAATTTCTGACATTTAAATTCAACCTCAGAATCATCAGGTTTTAAAAGTTTTTGGAAATCCAACACATATTTATATGTAGCCATATTTTCAATAGTGAGCTGTTCCACAGTTTTACTAAATGTCCAAAACAACTAAAAAATATATACATAGATCCTACAGTAAATTACATTTTTCTTTTTGAAATATATTATTAGTTTAATTTAAACATATTGCTTATATAATTATAAATTACATAATATTTGGTAGTCCAGTAGGTATGAGTTAGATGGACAGATAGAAACTGTTGTTTTATGTATACGACTAAAATCATTCAATTCACTCACAATTGAATGATTTAATTTTAAATCATGTGTATATTTTGGCTTAAAACAAAATCAAATTCAAGGCAAAATAAATAGATTTTTAGAAATGTGTAAAATATACTATGCTAGTTAAAATAAATTTGATTCGGTTGCCAGTGAAAGCATTTGTTGGTTACCGAAGTATCACCCCTAGCGACATTCAGGATTTGTTGTGTGGGCCCACCGAGAATGATGGACTACAGGCTGCCTCCCAACAAGCCACTCAGTATTTTTACGGCATGGTTAAGAACATATTCTGCTGTAAGGAGCAGAATGAAAGAATAGATGAGGCTGAAGGAAGAGTCAATTTAGTGGCAGCTGCTCCGATTGACTGACACACATACATAGATGCATGTGATAGTGGACCGAGATTCAATTTTATTTTTTTATTGTAAGTTGAAGCAATCATAATTGCATAATTGTATTTATAATAGACAATAGTATGTATCTGTATTAGTGTATGCAAACAGTTATAAACGATGGCAACAGAGGAGTAGTATTGTTCATACAGAGCCTCCTTTGCTATTGGTTAAACGAAAAAAAAAAAGTTAAGATAAATTTTGATCGACAGTTCTAAAGATTTTTAAAATTATAATAATTATATTTATATAAATATTAATATTAATATGGTATTATAAGTTTAAAAATATTTTGTTATGTTCAGAAAAAAAGTTATTTTCTTCACACAATACTTGTGGAACTAAAATTTATAAGTTTAAAACTCTTATGGGATATCAAATTTAACCTATTCTTATTTCTAAATACCTAATTTACTACAGGGTGCAGCGCAGCCGACTGACGAGTTTAATGGAGTCATTAGTCTGAGATAAGATAAGTGCAGGCCTTTATCAGTGGTCTATTTTGAATTCCACAGTTATGCCGTATTTAGTCGTAATCATGGTTTGGGCGGGAGTCTATCGAGGGTCACTTGCTGTTTTGCGACAAATGTTTCCTGGCCGATTAGTCTCTTTGATGGGTGACCTAGGCTGGCCAGCACGTTCTCCCGATTTAAGCATGTGTGACTTTTTCTTCTGAGGATACCTTAAGGATAAGGTTTTCAGACATCGTCCCTATACTATTGAAGACCTAAACGAAAAAAACCTCACAGTTAATCGTGGCCATACCCATCAAAATATGCCAAAAATCATATGCAAACTTCAGAGAATGTATAGAACAGTGTATTGATGCTGATGGTCGTCATCTTAAAGATATTATTTACAAAACATAATTTCAAAAATGGAGTTCTTACTGATTTAAATAAAACAAACCGTTTTCATCTAAGTTTAACTGTTTGTTATTTACAGCCCTTCAAAAATCGTCAGTTGGCTGCGCCGCACCCTGTATTTGAACTACCTAAGTGATGTAGGATCTTTTACACACAATGCCTACATTTGTATTATAAATTCTTGTATATCCAAAACAACATTGGCTGAACTCAGAACTTATGCACGCACTGCATAAAAGGAATCTAAATATAATCTCAGTTAAAAAAAACTCATAACTAGGTAAATTTGAGTAAATTGTTGTAGAAGCAAAAATAGTAAATGTTATTTTTCAAATAGTGAGAGTAAAAGATTTATGCATTTTTATCCTTCAAATAATGTACTAACAATAAATCTATAGATGAAAACACTTAAATGAAGTTTTGTAAAATCAGCCAAAATTCATCAAGTTAATAGGTATATATTATTAATATATTATTGTGTATAATTGTAAGTGTACCTATAATCTAATATATTATAAATATTTTAATGACTAATTAGAAATTAGAAATTACAATAAATCACATACAGAAAAATCTCTAATTAAAAAAATAATACATGTGTTGCAGCACACAATGAATTAGAAATGAAATGATATTTTCCTCCAATAATTATTACTAAAGATGTCTATGATGTAACCCCATTAGACTGACTGTGAAAAAACAGTCAACTTAATTATTTAATAAAATAGTATTACCACTTCATTGTTATAAAATAATATTGACATGATTTTAATTTGTATCTGTTATTCTAAATTCATTATGTTATTATTATATTGTTTGTTCACAGTGTCTTGGAGTGGGGCAAGTGATTAGCTTGCCAGAAACACTATAGTAATGGGACTATTGTTAACTCAATTGTTAATAATAACAATTAATGTCCATGTAAAAATAATATTTGAGCACCAAATAATTCAATGGTAATAATTTTGTGAATATTAAATGAACATAAGTAAATAGTTATCTAAAAATTAATTTGTGTATATTCATTTAGCATAGGCTTGTCAAAAAGCGCATGTGCTTGTTCAAGGGGAAGGCTCTGCTTACCGTTCTTAGGGACAACTCTGATAAGGCACTACCGATAATGGTAATGGAAGTTCACAGTAATATATTTTGTATACATTCATTTGATAAACTCAGTTCTTTATATTGGTTAAAACCATTACATTTTTGATAGTTATAAGTAGTAGTGCAGAAAATAGTGGAACTTCAATTGGAAAATTAATTGTTGCAACACATTTTAATAGAATCACACCAGAAATAGATACAAAAAATCAGAAATGGGTCCAACTTGAATTTTTTTCTGAAATTTTAAATATTTTATTTTCAATAACTTTTTATATTTATTTTAAATATTTCAAGCATGATCTTGATAAAAGCCTTCAAACTTGTCAAAATTCAAAATTTCTCGAATTCTGAACAGTTTCATTGTCTGAGAGTTCTAAATCATATTTACTTAAAGGTAAAGACTACCATAATTTTCAAAACTATGATTGTCAACAAATAGTTTCTATACTCAATTTAAGTTAAAAACCATACTCTACAGTAATCAGTATTCGTTGGTCAGTAGTCAAGCAACACATGTTTGTCAGTCCCTGCCCACAAGTCAGCAGCTGAGTACAATTCTTAACTTGAATAGAGTATAGATCAATGATGACAATTTTCTATAGGGTAAATGAATTAGTTAATATCTTAAAATATTGTTCATTCGGGAGTTTGAGTATTAAAAAACATAAGCAATATACAAACAACTTAAAATGTCTAATTAATATCTTAGAATTATAAGGAGGGCTCTGTCACTGGACAGCTTTCCTTCTCATAAATATAGCTTCATGTAAATATCATTTATCCTATTTGCTTATATTGTACATACTATGCTACGATTACACATTTTCTATTTAATAAAAAAAAAAATTATTATATCTATCTATATGTAAATAAATTATTCACTATTCTATGCATAACAATAATAACAGAAAAGATGTATTTTTTGTTATAAAGCAATACCTACGAGGTGTAAAAATTCAAATTGTACTAAAGCAATTTGTTTATACAATGAATATTTACATAATATTGATAATAAAGGCATTTAACTAAATGAAAAGATATAATTTTTGTAATTATGACTTATGAGTTAGGTGCAAGCATGAGCATAAAGTTTTCAAGTTGTAATCTATTTTTATAAATTAGGTGTACTTACGTCTAGTATAGAATTTCCATTATAATGTTCGGGCAATTTTCTTGTGACTGGACAAACAGTAGCCTTCCGCATGACACCAGCTCCAGCAATATCTATCAGGTAGCATGTAGGGTTCTTACGTTTGTTTCCCGGCCACGAAGATGACCAAGATACAAAATTGTGAACAGATGTAGCAGTTAAACGAACCTTTACGCCTAATCGTCTAGCAACTGATTCAAATATCACACATAGCAAAAACACAGAACCTTTTCTCCGATCAATAACCTAGGTTAAATTCATTGCATCATTATTAACTATGAATAACAAAATCAATAAGATAAAATTATACCTGCTGCAACAAAAAGCAGTTTAAGTCATGGTTACAATAACAAACCAATTGATCTTCTGAAAATATGATTTGTCTTATGTTGTCAAGTATAGACATTGTGCTGGTTTCATCAAATAAATCATGATCGAGATTGAATTTGCCACGTTCAACCACTTGTTTTAAACAGTTTTCATGCTCAAACAGAGGATGGACTGGGTTTGTTGAACGAATGCGATTACACACATCAATAGCTATGTTATTCAAACTTTTGTCTGTAAAAAATATAAGTAAAACAATTATCACCATTCATTACAAATGTATTTAATTACTGGTTTTTTTTGTGTAGACTTACTTATATCACGATATGGTATATTAACCGTAGGACACCACCAACGTCCAAGTAAGTAAAATCCTCGTTCAATAATTTGTTCTGTTGGTGGTAAACTTAAAAAATTATTTAACTTGTAACCAAAATACACTTGGCATGAGTAAATAAGAAATTGATGTGCCATGTACAATAGATCATAATTTTCATTATGACTGAAAGTGATAAAAATAAACGTTAGTAAGTCAGACATTATTCTACTTTACTTTGAACCATAAATACCATTCGTTACTCTGTAGTTGCTTATAATAAGCTGCAATTGCTGATAGAACATAATATCTATGGCCCTCATTTTTTGAATTCAAATATTGACTAAACGGATACATATGATATGGTACATTCTTAAACTTCATATACTTGCATGGCATTTGTATAATTTCAGCAGGTACAGCTTTATCCAGACTAATACGCAACATGATCTCGTCCTTCCAAGTGTTTTGTTCGTCGATAACAACTTCATATTCCTCATTGTCCAGCAAACCATATCTAATACAAATAAAATATCCCTTATAAGTAGGTACGTAAAAAAAAGTACAACACACAAGTATGGGCATACTTTTGTATGAATTTAGATTTCCAAAGGCAAGAGTTTCGTTCGTGGAACAAACAGTTGTTGAGCTTGGAATGCGAAACGGCAAGGTTGAAGACGTCATTCAATTTCAACGAGTCACAGCAGCAAATGTACTCAATCAATTCGGTGGGTAAGTCCAGGATAGTAGTAGTGGCAGTATTGGTGGTCATAGTATCGGCAGAGTTGGTGGACAAGTTGGCAGGGACGTCGAAGATTTCGTCTTCGTCAGGTTCACGTTGTCTTTTCAAAGCGTTGGTCGTCATCGCACCGGATTTTGATCTTCAAATTTCCATTCAAACGGCTAGTGCAACTGTAACGACGATCGAAAGAGCTGACATCAAGGGTTTTCCCTATTGTTCGTGAGAAACGTTCCACAGATCAAAAATTGGGGCACCGGGCCTCTAGTAGTAACTACAGTGTTGTACCGAGCAGTACCTGTGCAGACGTGCCGTTCCGAGTGCACTCAATGTTATGATTAACCCCGAGCAGCGGCCCGTAGCAGCGCCGCAGAGCGATAGTTGCAATACTGTGTGATGATGATCCGTTTGTGCGTCGTCGCCGACGCAGTGTCGCAGTCCTCGGTCACGAACGACGCGCACTCACGGTTCACACGCGGAAACAACAACAATAATAATAACAAGTAAACGTCGGGCGATAAGACGTAAAAGATGAAAGAACTGAAGAATATTGTCAAATGACGAACACGGATTACGATCAAAACGTAGTCTGTCGCAAGTTAGTTACAAGTTACAATTTTCAGCTTTGCAGCATATAAGACTGCGATCGAAATTACTCAAAACTGTGTAGAACCTAATATTAAAAATATTGTAATATAAACAAATAATACTCAAAACGTACGGAGACGCCACGGATGTACATTATACATTTTAAATTATAAAAGAATCATTTTGGTAATAATTAATAACTAAAAGCATTGATTATAAACACTGAATTTAAAGATAAAAGGTATTATTTTTTTTTAAAGCTGTTGACTGTAGTTTGTCTTGGGATTGTGAATCTTTTATTATCTATGTTGTTGACTTCCTAGTTCCTTGAAAGAAATTTGATAAAAGAAAAAATATAAATCAGTGATAACGTCGATATAGCAAGACAACACGCCTATATAAACATTTTCTGCTTCTCTCTGTTTCCTATTGAGTTGGTTATTTTTTTTAATTTCGCAATTGTACCACAACTGTAATACCATATTAGCAAGCCTAAGAAATGTCATCAAAAATTCCAAATAAAAAAATGATGACAATATGACATCAATATTTAATAGTGGTCCACGATAAATGATTATAGGTCCAATGATGATTTTAAAATTAAACTTTTCAGTATACCTAATAATTAATATTAATACATTAGCATTTTATGTTAGAAAAAATTGTCTGAGTATTTTAAGTGTCTATAGCCTAGTGTACTACCTAGAGTCTAGGGCTTGGAGACGGCTTGGTACAAAAGAAAAGATGTCAAGTTTCAAGTGCAGCTTAAAAATAAAAATTATCAAATATTCAAGCAATTTTTAAATTATAATTTTTTTTTAAGTTAATGTTCATCATATTTTTTCAATGATAATTTTGTAGTAATAATAAGTCAAATAAAAACCAACTACTTCGTTTATATTTTTATAAATATTTTTGGTACCTAATAGTAATTATAATAAAAGTAATTTCATAATTTATTGAGTCACATTTAAATAAATGGATTTTGTATGTATGTTTGCCTTCATTTTGTCTTTAGTTTTTAGTGTATAAGTATAAAAATGACACTTAAAATTTGGCCCTCGAATTTTTTTAAAAAAAATATACGGCCCGTAGGTAATTTGAGTTTGAGAGCATCGTCCTAGACTAAAAATGTGCTAATGAGTAATTGCTAATGCTAAAGATAACAACCATTGTATATTTTATGTACAATCATTATGGCATTTGTATTAAGAACTATTATTTATTAGTTTATTACCTATTCTTAAACCATTCAATTTAATAATTCAAAAACTACTCTTTAGAATTTAAATTTATAGATGTATCAACATTTTTGAAAATACCATGTGCTTAAAATTGTATAGTAAAAAGGGGTGATTATCGATTGAAAAAGATGTATACATATTTGTTACTGAACCTACTCCTCAAATGGTATAAATATTTACAATATTTGTATCTGAAAAATATGGCCTATAAGTATACCTTAAAATTCAAAAAATCAAAATTAGATTTAATACATAGAACTATAGAAGAAGACTTTTTAAAGTCTGGCAATTTTATAATTTTAATCCACTGCCCTGCAGTAGAAAAATGGGTATAAATAATTTCTACTAAATGAACATTCATGTTCACCTACACAGCTATAAAAAAAAACTTCGATTTTGAGTTAATATTGCCTGATCAAAATCATTACGGTTATGACATTACCAATACAATTATTTTTTTATTTTTATTTATAATAGTAAACGGGATAGGCCCTTGACATTTATATCAAATTAATAATTAACAAAAATATAATACACTATAACATACATAATATTATCAGATAATAATGTAGTACAAAATAATTACACACAATAAGATGATTAGATGTTATAGGATCCATTATTAGCTAGTGCCATCATACGCAAAATGGGTTCATTATATAAGTAATTTGTCGCACAGAACGGGAATTATACAAAATATATACCATCACACTGTTATAAATTGTTTTTAGTAAAATCCGAGGTAAAATCCATTATGCACATACTCAAAAAAAAAAGTCGATAATCACATTTTTGACAATTTTCGGAATAATATTTTGAATTTTAGACTTGATGTATCGTGTAAACTTTTAACCACGGAATTTGTTTTTGTTAAATATTTACAGGTATGTTTAGTCGCATAGGTAGGTATATAAATTGTAAATATATAATATGTGTTTACATCTAGGTATATGTTCAGATTATATAAATATAACTAAGCCATGGTCATAATTAGGTTTCAGGTAAAATGCTAACATTTTTAAATCATCGGAGTATACATAAATATATATAGAATATAAATTATAATACATACTTTATATTTTATAATGGCATATAAAATATATTGTTTGTATGTGTTGGCTGTTCATTGTTTCTGCAGCGTCGGCCGTTGATTTGTGATTTATTACCTACTTATTTTTAACAATAACATTTTATTTTTGAACCTTGGATGCGTTTAACTGCAAAGTCCAACTTAAGTCAATACAGGCTGTAGCTAGACACTATATACTTAAGTTTATATATAAAATATAATTCTTATTTCTAATATTCATGGTCCGTTCATATTCCGTATTCGTCATCATTATTTTATCTGTATACCTAATTTGAATTCGTTTATATGTTTACTTCCTTATTTTTAAACTAAAATTGACGTATATCGATGAAAGAAATATAACCTGACAGGAAGTATGTATTTCGATAATATTCGTTAGAGAAATGACGTTTTTACGTTTATAATTTATTATTTTATATAGTCAATAAAATAGTTTTTATTTCATTAAATAACGTTAATTATTGTTATCGACGATATTATATAGGTATTAATAATGTATGTGTATAAATAAATGATAAACACTGCACAGTGTTTACACAACTATTCGTCTGCTGATATTGTTTTCATGCTACATCTATACGTTCGACCTACGCCTCGTATCCTCTGACTAAATATTATGTTGATACATAATGATATAAATTTAAGTATTTTATTGCACTGTGGCGTCGTGTGAAGACTATATAGTTATAGTAATTAATAATGCTTGCTCATCATAAATTTTAACATAATAAATCATGATTAATATAGGTAGGTATACGCATTATAACCTACTTATAGTTTTTTAAACTAAAACCGTAAAGGACCATTAAATCCGATTTTTTTCATATAGATTACCTACTGTTGATCATTGAGTAACCTGCATTTAAATAAACTGATTTGACCCGGACTTTAGAAATAAATTGGGTGGCCGTTTTGAAACATATTATAGTGTATTAATATTATTTTATAATTAGTATTATACTTCCTAATGATGAGTAATGATGCATTCCTACACTTAATTGTTTGAAGTTTTTTGTATAATTTATTAGAATAATTTTATAGTTTATTTGAAACTCGAGAGATTAAAATATAACCGATATTGCTTAATCTATACAACAGAATTGATTAAATATTTAATCAATGACAGCAAACACAATAAAAAGTAAAGCACATAATTATACCACAATATTACAATTACATGTTTTTAATGCGGATGGATGACTAAACAGATCAAAACAAATTAAAAATGATCGAATAACATAATATTACGTACAACACATTGTTGGGTAAAAAAAATGTTGTTGGACCAATAAATCATTGGTACCTAGTAGGTAGTATCCACGTATACTCTTTTTTAAAAATAAGAATGCACCGAGCCGTGATCAAAAATTGGTTCTAGTTCGAGTATCACAGAACATTACCGTTGACACCGTGCATTCGTGATTAATTAAAAAATAAAATAAGTATGGTGACAATAATATTGAATATAGGTAAGTGAAACCGCATCAAGTCGTAACCGACTCGTAATAAGTGTATAACTTTTACAATAACCTGCAATAGGATAATATTATTATGGTACTGGTACAGTTTAGTGTGTTGTCGACATTATCGTAAAGGTAAAATAATAAATAATTTATTCGTAGTCATAACCTGCAAATTGAAATTATAGTGTGCATAGAATTTTTCGTTTTTAAAATGCTTATATTTATGTATTTAGTTCCTTACACTTATTTGGTATACACAGGGAAAATCTTAAAAAAATATCACGAGGGGTGTAGTCTTTAAAAATGCTGACTTGTTTTGAAATGTCTAACAAATTTATCGTGTGTCGACTGCCGGCTAAAAGTCTGATATTGACATATTACTGCTGAATTTTGTTGGTTGTAGACGATGGCGGGGTGTTGACACACCCAAAAGGGACTTAGGTTCATTCCTGATGTGTAGTGTGTACCTATAATGTGGAATTATATATTACACAAATTGTTGATGTAACGATATTGAGTTTCGGCTAATGGATGACATATCACGCTGTAGAGTAGCTGCCTTATAATAATAAATGCATTTACCATGCAACTGTACTAGGATAACAGCGAGAAAGTTTTCTTACTAATTATCTATCCCCCCTCTCAAAATACTTAAGTTAACTCGTGCAGGCAGCCAGAATACTTGATACACCGGGTATAGTATTGTTTGGCATTGGTGCATTGCTTCCTAGTCCTATTATATAATATTATTTATAGTTAGGTATTATAGGTACCTATATCTATATTATGCTCATCAACATACACGTATAAGTTTATTTCACGGTTTATCATTTTCAATTTTCATGGTCACTAAATATAATACCGGGTGATCCATTTAACTCAAGATAATCATTATTTTAAAAACTACTGACATTTTGGATAGTATTATTTTTACATAATTTCAAGTCATTATATAACAACATTTTTGGACAAAATGATATTATTATTTTTATTAATAACGTGCATTTATAATAATTCTCTGTTCCAAAGCATAATATTTGCTGGAGTACTTCGATAGGTACTCGAATTTCGGGAGAGTAGTTTATGAGTTATAACTTATAAAGTATAAGTATTTATAAGATAAGCTGAGTGGAGTGGTTTTTGGGATATCCCACACAATGTTGGTCCACTATGCCTTTCGTCTAACTAAAAAAATAGTTGTCCGATATTTGATTTTTATAGATGGAGAAAAGTAAACAATTTAAAAAAAATAATTTTTTTCCCAAAAATGTTGTTTTGGGACGACTTAAAATAAAATTTTCAGAAACGTTTGTGTTTTCTGAAATAATGAGTGTCTTACGTTAAATGAATCACTCCGTATACTAAAAATCATGGACGTCGAGTAAACAAGTTGTAATACCGGTCTTTGGTAGTCTTTAGGTATCTTCATTCTTCGGTGCTCTTATAGTCTTATATGTAATATAATGCATTGTATATAAGTAATATTATGTGAATAATA